TAAGGTTAAATGAGGTCATATGGGTGGGGCATAACCCAGTATGACCCGTGTCCTTGTAAGAGGAGGAGATTAGGACACAGACATGCACAGAAAGCAGACCACGTGAGGACACAGCAAGAAGACAGCTGTCTGCAAGCCAAAGAGGGAGGCCTCAGAAGGAACGAACCCTGCCCATGCCTTGATCTTGGATTTCAAGCCTCCAGAACTGTGAGGAAATACAGCCGCCTACTGTATTTTGTTTCAGTAGCCCTAGCAAAGTAATACAATGATGGATTCCATTAAGTTGTATTTTTACCAAAGAAGTTCCCCTCCCCAGATAATTTAAGCACCGCCCAGTTGTACCAGCATTTCAGACGGGGCCCACCCTGGCCACCCCCATTGTATTTAGTTCCTGTTCTGGGGAGAGGGGAGGGGGAGTTTGTCCTCTTCCAACACCTGGAGGTGTCTTTAGACACCTTTCCATACAACAGAGGGAATAAGTTCCTCTAATGAGGTTTTCCCCAGAGTATTCTGACCTATTACTATTGCTATGATTATCAGTGTCATTATTAATCCAGGCAATGGCTAGCATGTGTGTAGGACCTTAGGATTTCTGCATGGTTTGCCCAAGGAGTATCTTCTCTGTACACCAACACTTGCAGGGCAGGTATGGCAAGCAGCACCTGGCCCACTTCTCTGAGCCCAAGGTCACAGGGCTGCCCAGTGGTTACTGTTGTGGGAGATGCGCAGGGGTCTTCTGACTTGGTCCCCTGCTCTCCCCGCCCGACTTCTAACAAAGGCTCTTTTTGCTTCGTGGACCAGGCATGTGGACACAGCTTAACCAGGTATATCCCAGGCAGCTGTTTTTTTCTGGGTTGCTCTCTAAGGGGGAAGGAGAGGGGAGGGGCTGAGTGAGGGCTCAGGTGGGGACAGGGCAGGAGGGGAATGTGGGGTCCCTTCTCTTCCCCAGCTCAGCCCCACGGGCCACATTTGAGCCACAAGGGATGATGTTGAAGGCATTGCTCCCCAGGGGCCTGAGTTGTGGAGGCAAAGCAGTGCTGCTGAGGGGCCCCCAGGACACCCTCCCCGTCTTTGAGGACACGTGATTCCTATCAGAAGGACTCCTCGGGTGGCCTTGGTGCCCTGGGGTTGGGGTCGTCACTGGGGTCAGTGTTCACATGCGGCATCCCCGTGGCCAGATGCCTGCGGAGGACCCCTGGGATGGAAAGCAGCACACCGAGCACAGAGCCTGGGGCTCCCAGAAGTGGGGGAGGGAAGTTTGGAGGAGGGGCTGGGATCCGGAGTCAGGCTCTCGGGAGGAGTGGGGGGCCTTTGCGAGCTTCACTTTGCTGTCGGTTTGGTTGATTTTTGGCTGCCTGCCAGTGAGGTCCTGGAGTTCAGGTTATGTTGTCAACTGGCTGGTCCCAATGGGCAAGTCAGGCGATCAGAAGGGGGACACTTCTCACTCTTATTAACCGAGAACATCTGAAAGTCACAAACAAACTTCTTTCTCCAGGCGTCTTGGAAAAGAGGGTGAGCCTTCGTAGGGAGGAGAGATGTTGCCAGGCATCTCCCGAGTCACCGCCCCATGTGGGGTCCGGACTCGCAGCCGGGGAAGGAGAAGGAAATTCTCCCCGGCTTTTCTGACCTTCTTTCAAAAGTAGGTTCCTCCGGGGCTTCCCTGGTGGCGCAGTGGTTGAGAGTCCGCCTGCCGATGCCGGGGACATGGGTTTGAGCCCCAGTCTGGGAGGATCCCACATGCCGCGAAGCAACTGGGCTCGTGAGCCACAACAACTGAGCTTGTGCGTCCGGAGCCTGTGCTCCGCAGCGCGAGAGGCCACAACAGTGAGAGGCCTGCGTACCGCGATGAAGAGTGGCCCCCGTTCGCCGCAACTAGAGAAAGCCCTCGTGCAGAAACGAAGACCCAACACAGACAAAAATAAATAAATAAATAAATAAGCAGTTAAAAAAGAAAAACAAAAAGTAGGTTCCTCCATGGCCCAGCTCCTGTGGGATTACGACATCCCTAGGATGATCTTTTCTATAATTTACCCTCAGCTTTCTTATGGACGATCACGTGGATACACAGAAGGATCTGAAGGAGAGATGCTTCACAGGAAACGGAAGCTCTGTTCCTCCCGCTGCAGGTTGCCTGCATGTGCAATTAGCATTTAAAATCTCAGGTGGGTCCTTCCTACTTATTAGAGTCCAACTTTATGTCCTGTTTCTTTTTTTTTTCTTTCTTTTTTTTTTTTTGCGGTACGCGGGCCTCTCACAGTTGTGGTCTCTCCCGCTGCGGAGCACAGGCTCCGGATGCACAGGCTCAGCGACCATGGCTCACGGGCCCAGCCGCTCCGCGGCATGTGGGATCTTCCCGGACCGGGGCACGAACCCGTGTCCCCTGCATCGGCAGGCAGACTCTCAACCACTGCACCACCAGCGAAACCCTGTCCTGTTTCTTAATTTAATCTTCACCCCTGAAGGCCAGCGCTGGAGGTGATGTTAAGCTTTACCTGGAGTTAATTGAAACCCAGCCCCGGGCCGGATGAGGGAATAACGTGGTGGGCTTGGGAGCCCGAAGGCTCACCAGGCAGTGCATCCTGAACACACTGAAATGTTACGAAGAGGATTTATTCTTGTAAAATGTGCAAGAGGATGTTTTGTAAACATTTATGAAATAGCCTGGATTTCCTTCTTTTTTCCCTTTCCTTCCTTGCCTCCCCCATCCTCCCTCTTCTTGCCTCCCAGCTCCCACCTACAACCCCCTTCTCCGTGATCCACCCTTATAACCACACACCCCTCCCACCTGTACCCACACCCTCCCACCTGCCCACACTCCCTCGCACCTGTACACACACCCCATTCCCACTTGCCCTGGTCTCCCTGGTTCCTGTCTTTTTGTGTCAGCTCTTAACCACGCTCTTTTGTACCCCTGAACCCCGTCTTTGGTGCCACACCCAGATCTGACGGGCTCCCCAATCAGGTTGCATCCACACTGTGGACCACATTGTCCCTGGCTGCTTTGAGATCTGCATGCTAGACCCTTCCCCAAGGCAGGGGCTGTGCCCTGGCCCCAGGACCAGGTGTGGGACAGTGGTCAGTCTGTCCTGGGACTTCTGTGGCAGAGATGACCCAGTTCCATCAGGCTCACATCTTAGAGGTGTTTTAAATCTTGTAATACGTGTCCTGTTCCCAAGGTGGTCTCAGAGCCAGTGGAGCCAGACAGGGGGAGAGTCCTGAGGCTCCCAAGCCCCAGCTTCTGCGTTTTTAAGTAACTGATTCAAGTTGTCAGCCCTGTCCCATTCTCTCTTGCTCACGGGCATTTTTGTCAAACCTAATTATTTTGTTATATCTCTCTTCCACGGTCAAGTCAGCTTTCCAATGGATCCCTTTGCTTATAAAATGCCTCATTAGCTGCTGCAGCTCAGTTATGGGGCCCTCACTGCTGCTCTGGGTGTGAGTGTGGACGTGTGACACACACAGGGATGCAGGGCTCTGCAGGGCCAGCCCTGCTCCGTTGGCCTTTCTCCCCTGTGGGGTGCCCCGGGGAGGCAGATGTGGTACCCAAGCGCAGTGAGGGATGTTGTGGGCCTGTGCTTTACAGGGGTTACTGCTCAGGGAAGCCCTGGAAGTGACCATTTGCTGGATTTTGGGGGGATGAAATACTCCAAAACGCAGCATCACCCTCAAAGTGATGGGAGGTGTGTCGTGAGTTTAAAACCACGTTCCTGGTCCTGGGGGTGCTGAGCTTGAAGAGTATCTGGTCACCAAACAGTCCAGTGAGGCCCTGGGGAGGTTCCCTCTGCCTCACGGGATGGTGAGTGCCTGGAATCGTCTTTGTCTTCCCAGCACGGAACCCCAGGCTCAAGAATGAGTGTGCCTGCAGGTGTGGGTGTGTGTGCAGGTGTGAAGGTGTGTGTGCAGGTGTGAGGGGTGTGTACAGGTGTGAGGGGGTATGTGCAGGTATGAGGGTGTGTGTACAGGTTGATGGGGTGTGTGCATGTGTGGGGTGTGTGTGTGCAGGTGTGAGGGTGTCTGTGCAGGTATGAAGGTGTGTGTACAGGTGTAAGGGGTGTGTGCAGGTGTGAGGGATCGTGTGTAAGTGTGAGGGTGCTCACTGAGAAAGGCGTTGGAGATGGGAGCTGGGAGGCAAGAAGAGGGAGCAAGGGGGAGGGAGGGAAGGAGAGGAAAATAAAGAAGGAAATCCAGTCTATTTTATAATTGTTTACAAAACATCCTCTTGCATATTTTACAAAACAAAGCAGGAGCTAAGATGAAGTGGCCCAGGGAGTCTGCTGTGAACGAAGCAAGTGTCGACTGAAGAAAAAATGCACAACATGAGAGTTGTGAGTTAAGTTTTATTTGGGGCAAACTGAGGACTGTTTGAGGGGGGAGGAAGGTCAGCACATATGTGATTTTGCTGGAGGGGGAGTACACATAATCGAGCACACACACACACACACACACACACACACACACATATATATATTATTTTTTTTTGCGGTACGCGGGCCTCTCACTGTTGTGGCCTCTCCCGTTGCGGAGCACAGGCTCCGGACGCGCAGGCTCAGCGGCCATGGCTCCCGGGCCCAGCCGCTCCGTGGCGTGTGGGATCCTCCCGGCCCGGGGCACGAACCCGCGTCCCCTGCATCGGCAGGCGGACTCTCAACCACTGCGCCACCAGGGAAGCCCTCGAGCGCACATTTTTGCAGAAGGTTGCTACTAGTCTCGTGAAGATTTCTGCTAGTCACAAGGAGCAGACGTCACCATGAAGGATTTTAGTGCTTTTCTAGATACAAGGAGATGCAAGAACTGGGCTCATAAAATCTCCTCCTGAAAATATCTATCTGAAGACCTGTTCTGCCAGTTCAGAGTGCCTCATTGCTGGTCTCCACCCTGAGCTCCTTTCAGGGGGTGTTGAAAGTCGGTGGTTGCAGCAGCCTGTGATGTAATGCTTGTACAGCAGGTGGCAAGTACCAGTTTGTAGCTGGCGCAAGGGTTCTGGGAACTTTCTCCTGCTGAGTGCTGGCTGTGTCACAGGGCCGGTCAACTGCTCAGAGATCACTGGGGTGCAGCTCTAACAGGATCGCAAAGCGAATCCTGCAGAGAAGGAGGGGGATCTAAGAAAACCAACAGGTGAGTGTGAGAACAGATGTTAATGTCAGAGCAGCAGCAGAGATGGGAGGTGGGTGGTGCGGCGGAGTGGGAGCTAAAGATTACAGAGCTGGTGAAATTCAAACCAGGCGGTTCTGAGCCCTGAACCATTTTGTCATTAATGGAGTGATTCAGGCTCCCGGAAGGAGGTGAGCCTGCGGGGAGCCCAGCTCTGTCCTCCTGCTGATAGAGGCTTGGCTGGGTTACCAGAGAACAATGGGACCTCGGGAAATTTGCCAACACCCCCATGGGTGACACCTCACTGGTGTCTACAAGTGTCGTAAAAGCTCCCCAGGGCTTGTGCACAGAGCTGAGTGTGGGTGAGCAGCCCCCCAATGGCTGTGGAGAGCCACAGCTGGGTTCCACCTTTGAGTGGGTCTCATCTGCCCCCAAAACAAGTGCTTGAGGGATTAAAATCCCAGTCAAGGGTGCAGCCTTCTGGTCATGGATCCTCCCCGCCAGACATCTTTACCTGGTCTCCCAGTGCTTGGTCTCTCAGACTTGCCTTCACTAGGAAGTTTTCATCCTTACTGAGATTCACACCTCAGCTCCCACCCTCCCCCCAGGACCCCCCAGCCCATGCAGCATCCCTGGCTCACCTTTGGCGCTGTCACTGGTCCACAATGCTGCCATTGGCTCCCAGAAGCCTTAGACTCCGCCTCCAAGCTTCACCTGTTTCTCTTTATTTGTCACCTCGGACTTTCTTTCACTACATCGTGCTCTAGGATCTGTCTTATTTTCTCGAATTTTCCACTTGTTTTGCTGCAGAACCTCCTCAAGAAGTTGACGCAGAAAAGGTGCCTGGGAGGAAGTGTTCTGAGTCTTCACTTGACTGAACCTCATGGAAGCAGAGGTAGAATGTGGAGGTGCCCTTTTGGGGAGGGAAGGAGAGACCACAGCCTTGTGCATTCAACTTGGGCCCCCTCAGAGAGCTTCTCTCTGTGGGACCATCAGTGCCCTTGCTGTTGACCAGTAAGCAGTGAGCACAACAGGGGCCAAAGCAGAGTGTAAGGGCAATGCTGGTTGGGGCTAGGTTGGGGGGAGAAGAGCCCTGAGACAGAGACAAAGATGTGATGGTCAGAAGGGAGGAGAGAAAAAGGAGAGTGAAGCTTTAAGGAATCAAGGAGGGAAGAGTTTCATGGGGAAGCAGGTGGTCAGTACTGAGGGTGATTGTAGGCACAATCACTTATGAGTGTTTTTCTGAGCTGCTTGCTTACCTGGGGAGGGAGGACAGTTTGCCTATAACCTTCTTCTTTGCCCACACGAGGCACTCTTGTTATCCTTTGTCATTGTCTTTCATTATCTCTTAACCAGGGTGCTAATCGTCTCTCTTCTCTGTCCTAGGGTATTTCACCTTCACCTTTCCCCTAGCTGACACATAGGAGGTGTAGCATTTCCTTCTTACTTCATCACAAGGAAGCAACCTCATCTTCTCATTATTGTTTCCCAGCCCCCATGGATCAGAACCCTGCTCTAATGCTTTGTTACTTTCCTGGGGCAGCTGTAACAAAGTACTGCAAACTGGGTACTTTTAAACAACAGGAATGTATCCTTTCACAGTTCAGAAATCAAAGTGTCAGAAGGACCATACTCTCCCTGAAGGCTCTAGGAGAGACTCTATTCCATGCCTTTCTCTTCCCTTCTGGCGTTGCCAGAAGTCCTTGGTGTTCTGGCTTGCAGATTCATCACTCGAATCTCTGCCTCTGTCATCACATGGACATTAACCAGATTGGATTACGGCCCACCTAATCCTAATTCCAATGGAGTATGACCTCGTTTTAATAATTACATCTTCAAAGGTCCTATTTTCAAATAAGGTCACATTCACAGACACTGGAGGTTAGGACTACGACATATCTTTTGTGGGGACACAATTCAACCCACAGCAGACACCTCTTTTGTTCAAGTGGATGGAGTGTCTCCATTCCTGTCTGCAGCCAGCCCCTCTCATCCACTGCATCTCTTCCCTTTCACTTCTCAAGAAATTCCTTCCTGTTATTATCCCATTTCTCCCTGTCTATTGGATAATTCTTATCAAAATGAAAACACGGTATAATATGTCTCATCTTAAAACAAAGAGAAAGAAAATAAAAATCATACCCCACATTCCTCCTCCTCTTACCCACCCCAGTTTTCAGCTGCTCTTTATTCTCTTCCTCTTCAAAAGAGCTGTCTCCTTCCTCACTTCCCATTCTCTTCTCCACACACACCAGTTGTGTTTTCAACCTACTGCTCCACCAAAACCACGCTTTCAAGGCACTATGCTTGGAAAAAGAAGACCATATGTCTCAGTTTGCCTGTTACGGTGTTGGCTTATAGCCAATTAATTAATTGTGACTCCTTTCACTCTCAAAAAGGCCTCGGTTTGTGTGATGAATTATGTGGCCACCCCACTGTTGACCTCCACATTGCCAAACCAAATGGTCATTTTTAGCCTTCACCTTACGTGACCTCTCAAAAGAATGTGCCCTAGTTCATTACCTCCTCCTTCTTGAAATGCTCTCCTCACTTGGCTGCTGTTCACTGTGCCTCTATATCTGCTGCTATATTTCACAAGATGTGGTTGCCATAGTGAAGAGATGCTGAAACTGGGAGAGGATTTATGACATGCTGTGGCCGAGGGATACATTTCTGGTACTTTTAAGCAACACTAGTAAGGATTCCTGATTAGAAGCAAATGAAATGAATGCTGGCTATTTTAAACAAAAAGAACGATTCTTAGAAGGCTAGAGAAGCTTATGAAACCAATGAGAGTCTACAGCCCCAGGCTTAGGAAAGCAGGAAGATATCAAAAGGCACTTAGATGGTTCAGATGTGAATGGGAGGGAAGGTGGGGAGATAGCAAGTGTGAAAGGGAGTTAGAGAATAATAGGTATGACAAAGTAAGATCAAAGGATCGGTCTCTTTTTAAGAATGGGTGGGGCATGAACACATATATTGACAGAGAGAAAAATATAGGTATGAAAAGGGAGGGTTTCTCAGGTCATAATGGAATTAAACTAGATATTAATAGAAAGTATCTGGGAAAACCTCAAATATTTTCAAATTAAACCAGAAGCATTTAAATAACCATGAGTCAAAAAGGAAGTCACAAAGGGTATTGGAAAATATTTTGAACTTAATGGGAATGAAAACACAGCATATCAAGATTTGTGGGATGCAGCTAAAGCAGTGCTTAGAGGGAAATTAATAGCATTAAGTGCTTATATTAAGCAAGAAGAAAGGTCTCGAGCCAATAACCTATATTTCCACTTTAAGAAATGTAAGAAATTAGAAAAACAGGTAAACTAATCCCAAGGCAAGCAGAAGGAAAGCACTAGTAAATATAAAAGCAGAATTGATAAAATTGAAAATAGACAAACTATACAGAAAGATCAATGAAACCAACTTATGGTTCTTTACAAAAGGCAGGGTAAAGAAAGAATGTAATGTGTTTGTGTGTCTGTGTGGGGATGGGGGAAGGGATCTGTGACTAACTGATGAAGGAATATCTGACTTACTATATTTCCTTGTGAAATCGTAGGTGGGGTGGTCTGTTGAGAAATGAGGATCTAGAACTGACTGGTGAAGAGAGAGGTGATGTTTTGGGTATTTTCTAGAGGTATGGGAAGAATAATTGTGCTATTTCCTACTGCTGCTCTAACAAATTTCAATAAACTTAGTGGCTTTAACAACACAAATTTATTCTTTTAAGTTCCTGGAGATGAGAAGTTCAAATAGGGTGTACTGGGCTAAAATCAAGGTGTCAGCAGGGCTGTGTTCCTTGTGGACTCTAGGGGAGGATGTTTTCTAGACTTTTCCAGATTCTAAAGGAGGCCTACATTCCTTGGCTCAGTGCCACATCCTCCAGCTTCAAAACTAGTAGTATCACATCTTCTAATACCTCTCTCTCTTTCTCTGACCTGCTTCCATCATCACTTCTCCTTCTCTGACTCTGACCCTCCTGTTTTCCTCTTATGAGGATACTTGTGATTACACTGGCTCATCAAATAATCCAGGATAATCTCCCCCATCTCTAGTTCCTTAACTTAATCACATCTGCAAAGTTTTTTTTTTTTTAGTTTTTGCCATGCAATGTAGCATATTCCAGGTTTTGGGGATTAGGACAGGGGCAACTTTGGGGCCATTTTTCTGCCCATGACAGTAGATAACCAAGAACAAGTAAATGAACTGAGAAGAGCACTCAGGTCCACAGGGGCTGGAGAACATGAACTGGCTGTGTCCTGAATCTGCAGCTTAGGATGGTTAGGAATTGAGACAAAAGAACTAAGTTGTCAAGCTGCAGAGCTAGGACAGGGTGTGGCATTTGCTGGGAGTATATAGCAGAAGGACAGGGATACAGAGAGTAGGAGTTTTTAATACAATGGTCATTTATTTGCTGAACAGTGGGATCCAGGCTGGGTAAGCAGCGACAGGAGAATGCACATGAAAAGGGAGTAAATAAAAGTAGCAAAGGGTGGTAAAATGTATAATCCAGGGCTTCAGATATGCTAGATGGTATGATAAATGGATACTAATAACTTAGGAGAAACATTCTTAACATAGAGGATCTTCTCCACTTTCATTCCAATGAATATCAATTCATCAGACTCTGCAGAACTTTCTGATAGCATATATTTCCCCTAAAGGAATGCATTTAATCTACTCTTGATACTAGTCAGAGGTCTTGGAATAAAAAAGGTGTCTACTTTCTCATGGAGTAATTTATTACAGCCTATACTTACATCTAATTGTTTTCATCTGTCAGAGATAATCTTTTCACTCCAACATCTTAACAGATAAGTGGGCCCTATTTGATCTTTTGCCAAAGATCAAATAGGGCCATTTTGATCTGTGTACTATGAGTAATAATTTAATCTAAAAAGGAGACACATTTATTAATAGGTTACAGAATATTTTCCCGAGCCAAAAGAGTGAATTTGGTGATTGTTAGTCCTGAGGGCAGAGTTATGTGTGTAAGGAATGTTGGAATAGGGTTGGGGGAAGTAATTAAGAATATTGAAGTATGGTTCTCTGCAATTTGTTTAAGAAACAGGGACATTTTTGGAGCTGTTTTTCTTTTCATTTTAGATATAGCAGAGTGCAGCCTGAGCTTGGATGCTGGCAACACCACCCACCTGCTGGTGAATTTGGGTAGTTCTTTGCCTGTGTTTCCTACAAAAGTACCTACTTTTCAGTTTTATTATGTGGACTCTTGAATTAATATATGTATATGACTTAGAACATATCTGGCACAGATTTGTTTGTTAAATAAAATAAAAAATTTTATCTCACAATGAGATTCACTGAGAAAGCTTTGCAAATGCATCAGAGAAAGCTGCATTGGTTCAGAGTGGCTTTTACATACTTTTTGACTTAACCTGGAAGAGTGTTGATCCATGGTCTTCATTTGAGTCAAACGTTCCTGACAATTTTCTCTACCTCATCAGGGATAGTGATTTTATTTCCCCCCCAAATGCTTTGAAGTGCAGAAAGTTGGCCATTTTAAACAATCTGTATTGTTGATCATGTTCTACTTGACTGAAAATGGAACCTCGCTAACCCAAAGGCAAACAGACAGCTAAGTAGGTAACGTAAGCCTTTCTAGGCCTTGCAATCTAGATATTGATCTTCAAATCAAGATGAGGGTTGTGGCAGGTGGGTCTGAGCAGAGCTAGTGTTGATGTGACGTGATAAGAACGTGGTGGCCCCAACCCAAACCTCCCACCACCGTCAGTCTGGCAGAGAGATGGCAGCACCTGAGCTGAGCATCCGTGACTATCTCGCGACAACTGAATTGTGCCCAAGAGTGGCTGAGATTGGTCAGCAGAAATTTTCCTGGAGACAAGTAGTTCTTCAGTCACAGTTCCCAAAACAGGACCTTGTCATGAGGTAAATGTGACAGCTTGCTGGAACCATCGGGGTGGCAGCAGAGGGGTCACAGGCGTCTTTGAAGACCCCAAGGTTGAGAGCATTTTCCTTCCTATTATTTTTACATTACTTGAGCAAGTTACTCAACCTCTCTGAATCTCTAGTCTAACCCAGACAACACCCACCTGGAAGAGTTACTGTGAGACTTCAGTGAGGAAACACATCTTCACCAAATACAACACCTGGTATGCAGTGGGCAGTCAGAAAATGTTCAGATTCTTTCTTCCCCATTCCCATTTCTGCCTCTCTCAGCTGCTTGTCTTTGAAGCAGGAATAAGACCTAGCTAATTCCCTGAAGAATTCAGGAACCATTGTATTAGAGTGACAAAGCTGAGCTCTTTCTCTTTTAAAAGGTCATTAATTCTAAGAAATTAGTCCCTGAGGGTGAGAGAGCCACTCTTGCCTCTCTTGTCCAGGAAGCCACATGTGAGAGGGCAGGAGATCTGGTGGGGGGTACCTGGGGACCATCAAAAGGGTGGAGGCCATGGTGCTGCCTCTGGGATCCAGCCACGGTCATTGTCAGCATTATTATAAATTAGGTCAGGGAAGCTGCTTCCTCAAGACAGGCCAGGCACGTTCCATAATTCCAGGCACATGTGCAGATTTCCAGGAGCTGCAAGTCACTGTGCTCAGTCAAGTGTGCCAGAGGACTGTCCGCTCTCCTCTGGGGATAAGTCCCTGTAAGTGTCAGTGAGTGTGCAGAGGTCCCAGCATTGGATGAGAGCTGCTCATGTCCTTCCTCCCCATGACCCTGCCTCCCATCCCTCCTCAATATTCCTGCTCTCCTGTTCATTACGGGACCTCAGAGCCCAGAGCTGGCCTTTTGTAGAAGGCAGTTTGCACATATTCAAGGGTATAGAAGGAAAAGAAGTTGCCTGTTACATTTAGAAAGAACTCAATGGCAGGCATGGCATTCTGGGAGATGACCTCGCCTGCTCCCGGCATGGTCTCACCCCATCAGTACCCCATTCAGTGGCAAAAACCAAATGGGGGTGGGGGGAGGATTCATTTCAGTAATTCCTGAGAAGCTCCTAAGCCCTTCTCTCCAGCTCCATCCTCTGGGAACTCCAGTCCACTGATGAAATCCAGCTGCCTGCCTACAGGTCCACAGGGGGATCACGTGCGCATCTGAAGCTGAACTGGCTAAAACCAACTGCTCAGTTTGAACTGCACCCCAACTTGCTTCTCGTCCAGGTCTCCTTTGCCCAGGCTGCATACAGGACTTACCTTGGATTCCTGTCCTGCCCTCACCCCTCCCTAAAGAACTCCTCGTTCTTGAAATCCTCCCCCCGTCCCCCATCTCTGCACTTCCTTTTATCCCACTCTCACCACACCATCCACGCCCCCATCACTCCCCCTGGATTACCTGGTAACCATCTAACGGACTTCCCTGCTCTCTTCTAGCCCATCTACATCAGTGGGCCATCTCTGGAAACAGACCAGAGCCCATCAGTCTCCTATCAGACCCTCCAGGGGATCCCCTCACACCCAGGTGACATTTGTCCCACCTGCCTCCCTCCTGTCTTCCTTTCCTACGTTGGCTTTTGTCTGTTCCTCAGACACAACAAACCCCTTCCTCTCTTGAATCTTTGCAATCACTCTCGCCTCTGCCTAGAAAACTCTCTTCCTGATACATCGGTGGCTGGCATCTCCTTGTGGTTCAGCTTAAATGTCACTCCTGCAGGGGACCACTTTGACCACCAGATCAAAATCAGACACCTCATCCCTCCCTACTACACCACCTTGTTGCAATTCTCCAAATAGCTCTTATCAGCATCTGCCATTTTTCTGTTTGTTGATTCATTTTGTGTCTGTCTTTCCCCTCAGCCCTGCTTAGAATATCTGCTCCAGGTGAGCAGATCTGTCTGGTTCACTGTTAAGTCTCCAGCAGTTAGAGGAGTGCTTGGCCCATAGCTGGCGCTCAGTAAATACTGGTCAAATGAATGAATAATTAGTGAAAGCAGTCTGTGCTCTCCCTTAACCATGTTTTCGGCTAATTTGGGAAACCAGTAGGGGCTTAGTTATGGAGGGATCTTATAGGGCAGTTTTCTCAACCTCAGCACGATGGCCATTTCGGGCAGAAGATGTCTTTATTTTAGGGGCTGTCCTGTGCACTGTAGGTTGTTTACTGGCATCCCTGACTGTTACCCACTAGATACCAGTAGCAAACTCTAGCACCACCCCCAGGTTGTGGAGGTGTCTCCAGACATTGCCAGATATCCCCTGGGGACCAAAATCTCCCCTGCTCCCCTGTGAGAACCATCCCCATTGTAGAGCCATCCACACCTCACAGGAATAATGACACCCATCTCCAAGTGGGGGTCCCGAGACCAAGAGAATGATGGCCAACAGGGGACCCATTTGGGAGGCACAGAACTCAGGCAGTGGGGTGGATGGGTCTGACACTGATCCCAGCTCCATCATGCACCAGCTGGGTGAACTGGCTTAGCTTTGAGGATGTGGGCTTCCTTATTTCAGAATGGGTGTGTGTCCATGGGGTGGATAGGAGACCCACCTTGGGTTTGATAGGAGATGAGTGAACACAAACATGGGGCAGAGCGTGGTGACAGCATGGTGTAGGAGCTGGGTTACAGCAGGGGGCTCTGTGCAGCTGCCACTTTGCTGTTCCCATTTTGCAAGGGTGTGTTCTGGGTTACAGACACACACAGTGCAGTGGAGAAAGGGGACTCGGCAGTTCTCCAATGAGCTCCACATGCACGTCCAACTGGCACACTGGCTCTAATCCCTGCTCCTTTGATTCACTCATTTGCTGGTTTTCACAAAGGTCTACTGTGCTCTCAGCAGCTGCAGCTGGTCAGGCCCTCAGAGAGGCTGTGGGAAGGGTCATGGGTACCACTGGCAGCTGCATGAAGAGTGTTCGAGCATCCCTCACTCTCCTGTTGGCGCCCAGCTCCCCAGCCAGCACCTGCGCAGGGCGGTGCAGGGGTGCGGTCTTCCTCTCCAGGCCTGTGCATTTTCCTGCTGAGGTGCAGAGGTCAGTGGGGGGAAGGGAGAGGAAAAGCAAGACAACAGAAAGAACATCTGTGAGAAGCAAGAAGAACTACAATCCTGCAGCCTGTGGAACAAAAACCACATTCACAGAAAGATAGACAAGATGAAAAGGCAGAGGGCTATGTACCAGATGAAGAAACAAGATAAAACCCCAGAAAAACAAGTAAATGAAGTGGAGCTAGGCAACCTTCCAGAAAAAGAATCCATAATAATGATAGTGAAGATGATCCAGGACCTCAGAAAAAGAATGGAGGCAAAGATCGAGAAGATGCAAGAAATGTTTAACAAAGACCTAGAAGAATTAAAGAACAAACAGAGATGAACAATACAATAACTGAAATGAAAACTACACTGGAAGGAATCAATAGCAGAATAACTGAGGCAGAAGAACGGATAAGTGACCTGGAAGACAGAATGGTGGAATTCACTGCTGTGGAACAGAATAAAGAAAAAAGAATGAAAAGAAATGAAGAGAGACTAAGAGATCTCTGGGACAACATTAAACACAACAACATTCACATTATAGGGGTCCCAGAAGGAGAAGAGAGAGAGAAAGGGCCAGAGAAAATATTTGAAGAGATTATAGTAGAAAACTTCCCTAAGATTGTAAAGGAAATAGCCACCCAAGTCCAGGAAGCACAGAGAGTCCTATACAGGATAAACCCAAGGAGAAACATGACAAGACACATAGTAATCAAATTGGCAAAAATCAAAGACAAAGAAAAATTATGAAAAGAAGCAAGGGAAAAATGACAAATAACATACAAGGGAACTCCCATAAACTTAACAGCTGATTTCTCAGCACAAACTCTACAAGCCAGAAGGGAGTGGCATGATATACTTAAAGTGATGAAAGGGAAGAACCTACAACCAAGATTACTCTACCCGGCAAAGATCTCATTCAGATTTGATGGAGAAATCAAAAGCCTTACAGATAAGCAAAAGCTAAGAGAATTCAGCACCACCAAACCAGCTCCACAACAAATGCTAAAGGAACTTCTCTAAGTGGGAAACACAAGAGAAGAAAAGGACCTACAAAAAAACCCCAAAACAATTAAGAAAATGGTCCTAGGAACATACATATCGATAATTACCTTAAACTGAATGGTTTAAATGCTACAACCAAAAGACACAGGCTCGCTGAATGGATACAAAAACAAGACCCATATATATGCTGTCTACAAGAGACCCACTTCAGACATAGGGACACATTCAGACTGAAAGTGAGGGGATGGAAAAAGATATTCCATGCAAATGGAAATCAAAAGCTGGAGTAGCTATGCTCATATCAGATAAAATAGACTTTAAAATAAAGAATGTTACAAGAGCCAAGGAAGGACACTACATAATGATC